TCTGGTTTTCAATTTATCGTTTGTGATGAATATAATATAGAATGAGGGCTATTGAAAACGTCTATTCCTCGGAGGCACAATGAAAAAGTGAAATTTATCTCAGAAGAGGCAAAATCAAGCGAAAGAAAAAAAAAATGTCGTCTAAATTTTCATAAAAATAACCTCACTCGATCATTTAATATTTAAAATTAATAATTAAGAAATGTCCCTCATATTCAAAATTAATTTGAAACACAAAAATAAAATAAAATAAGGAGCCATATTGGTAACACCTTCTAAAATTTGTGCCCAAAGTTGGTCGGTTATGGAGACGATCAGGCGAAAACAAAAGTAGAAAGATCATTTCTTCACAGGCTTTTGTTGGACTTCTATTTCACCTAATGGAAATGGGCTTTTCTTGACTTCTCTTTCTTCTATATAAATGGGCTTTTGTTGGTCTTCAGTTTTGTAACATCTCAGAATGTTTCTATTATTTCAGAAAAAAAAGCAAAAGAAAACTCTAGGAGTTTTCAAGAAAGTTTTGGGCTAGAAAGTTAGGGTGCGGTTGGTTTGTTGTTTTCGGCCATTTTTCGTTTTTCATTTTAGAAAACGCGAAAAACGCATTTGGCCCATCGTTTTCGAAAACACATTTTCGAAAACGAGTTAATTTTATAATTGAAAACGCAAAACGACTTTTTATCATTTTGAGCATTTTCAGTTATAAATTACCAAAACGCTCAAAACGCGGAAAACGAGCTGTTTTCAGCGAAAATTAAAAATCGTTTTGAAAATGAAAATGGAAAATGAAAATGCAAACCAACCGCTACCTAAACTTTCCAAGTCCCTTTTGAAGCCTATAAAAGGGGGGAGAATGTACGCTTCGAGAACAGAAAGAAAAACAAGAAAATCGGGGGAGGGATCGACTCCCTATCATATCTAACGAGATCGATCCTCCTATTTATTTATATGGGGGTTGACCCTTTCTCTTAAGGGTCGACCTCTGTCTAGAAGACGATGCAACGCGACACGAATAATAACACCTATAACTTTTTGTACAGACGTTATATTGAGGATGAATATTCAAATATCATAAAGCATGTGTGAAAATGCTTCGATAAGTCTTACTTGAAAGAAGATACCGAGGGATAAAGTTGAAAGTGACATATTTGCTATTCATTGTTAATAAAAGATATGTTGTGATATATGTTGATATAAATTGAGAGGAAATGCTCTGCATGATCAATTTTGAGATTTGCAGGCAGAAATAAAAATCGTTAAGAGTATAGTGTAGGAGAAAACATGTTTTTCTACCATTTTTTCAAATTTTTTTTTTCAAACTCATTTTCAACTACATGTTCTCACAGTATAATATTTTACATGTAGATTCAATTTTTTTATTTTTATTTTTAAACACACATTATTCAAAAATTCACTATTCCAAAACTCATTTTCCTACTTTAATAGCAGACAAATAATTACATGAATCAACACACTATCAAATAGAAAAGTTCCTATAACTTTATTAAAAGAACAATCACGTTCGTGTACCAAGAAATTAACAACAACAAAAAAAAAGAAAAAAAGAAAAGAAAGAAAGAATAGTTTAATGATGAATTATTTCCAATCCGTAATATAGCAAATGTGTTTGAAGATGGCTAAATTTTCCTCAAATAAAGGTATGTAAACTTGAATTTTTTATTTTATTATTATTATTATTTTTTTTTTTATGGCTATGACAAATATGACATATGTTAGTCGAGTCCGAGATTACGATTGCTATTAAACTAACTCGTAGGGTTGCAAGAATTAGCCGAGTCCATAGATATCTTAGCTCGACTTGTGCCTAAATTTTAGGTTCGGCTTGAGTCCAAATCTTAATATCCAATCGGCCTGTTGGCTCATGGGCCTCATGAGCTGAACCATCTACTAGCCCAAACAAATTGAACCGCTCCTTAAGATCCAGTCGGCCTGTTCGCTTGTGGGCCTCATGAGCTGAGCCATCTTCTAGCCCAAACAAATTGAACCACTCATAAGTGACTCGTTCTTCTTTAAAATAAGGTTGTGTCTGGACACCATTTTGTTTAAGTTTTAAAGAAAATGTTGACTGCACAGCTAGCAAAATACGAGAATTACCATTATTTAATGAAGAATGATTTGTAGAGCGGCAAATTGTTAATTTCATTGAATTAAGTCAAATATAACAGCTCCCCATTGACACATACAATTGTATAATGCTTATAATTCGATTAAAAATTGATACAAGATCTGGAATAGGCAGGCGCTAAATTAATAAAATAAGCCAAAAAGAATAATTATTTAAAAAATAATAAAATAAGTCCAAAAATACGAAAATTCGTATTAAGTCCATGTTTCTCCCCTATTATTTTAATTTTTTTTTTCAAAATCATTTTCAACTACACATTCTCACAATATAATATTTTACACGTAAATTCAAATTTTTTATTTTTATTTTTTAACCACGCATTATTCAAACATTTACTATTCTAAAACTCATTTTCCTACTTTAATAGTAGACAAATAATTACATAAATCAACACACTATCAAATAGAAAAGTTCCTATAACTTTATTACAAGAACAATCACGTTCATGTATCAAGAAATTTAAAAAAAGAAAAAAGAAAAAAAGAAATGATAGTTTAATGATGAATTATTTCCAATCCGTAATATAGCAAATTTGTGTGAAGATGGCTAAATTTTCCTCAAATAAAGGTATGTAAATTTCTATGCTACCATCCCCTATAAAAAGAGGGCACGTGGTAAGAACATCATGCCCACTGCAGGATAATAAGATGGCATAAAAATATACAGGCTCCCTCCTCCAAAATCAAGATCATAAAATGGAAACCTTAACCAATTTGTTTGAGTTCGATTCATGAAGGTATTTCACAAATCAACAATTCTGATTGTACATAATTATTTTCACATAAGAGAACCAGAACATTCATAAAAAGTTGGCCCCACTGCGGGGCCCAATATAATAAACAACGATAAAAAAATTCTGACCCCATCATGTGTGAGACCTCTGTAAGAGGTCTGTGAACTGGGGGTTCTGTACCCCCAACTCGGTTCTCCTCGGATTTATATCCTTGAATCCAATTTGCACATTATTTCTTGTTTTATATTTAAGTTAGACCTATTCCAATCTCAATCTGTATTTTTTGTACACGATCTCAAACCTAGATAAAAGAGAATGACTTTGTCCAATTAAGAGTCAAGGTATAACATGAATTCTTATGTTTAGGCATCGTCGTTGATTAGTTCGTACCGACATTTTGTCACATATAATGTTATCTCAATTTTGTATTCGGAGTCTTCTAGTTAGATCGAATTTTTAATTTTGTTTCAATTTTGTGATTTTCAGTTTTATTGATGTAAAATTGATAATATGATAGTTTTAACGTCCACATGAACAAAATAGCAAGCAAATGTGTGGTGTGTTTTCTGAGTACAATTTTAGTCCTTTGCTCCTTGCTTGGTGTAGGTTGAAAAGTTGTAGATCTTAAGATTAATTGTTATCTACAAAGTTAAGTACTGCGTAATTGAGATTATCATTTAACAATTAAGACTTGCATACCAGTTTTATCTACCTACTGTCGTTGAATTTTTTTTAATTATATTAATGATTAATTATGTTAAGTTGTAAATGCAATTGGGAGAACATAATAACATAGTAATTAAGGAAAATTATAAACAACTATGAAGTCTATGATTACGTAATTGGTTTGCTATACAGTAACATCACTTGTACATTACAATATACTAAATGTTATTATATATATATTAGAGGTGATTTTAAAATTAGGTAATGCATGTATAATTAATTTATTTAAAGGAATAAACTGTGTAATATTCTAGTTTAGCATGTAAAGCAAGAGTTGACGAGTAATTATATTTACACCAACTTGTTACCGTGTGAACAAGTTTGTTTGACTTCGGCGGTTCTCACACACTCTTCGACTTAATCATCTCATATAAAATTTTAAACTATTAAATTTATTTATTTAAATTTTGCCTCCAACTAATCTTCTTGTGTTCATCCATATTCAATTTTTTGTAAGTTCGACTTCATCGCCTTTCACTCGAGCTGTGATTTTCATATATAACGGGTCTTCCACGATGAATTTGATGAGATGATAATATAAAAGAATTCATTATTTTAAAAAGAAAAAGATAAAAATATAATTCAACCTATTTGACAAGCATTAAAACAAAGCATTTTTTTCTCAAACTCATTTTTAACTACGCATTTTCATAATAACATATACTGCACATAAATCCAAAAAAATTTCTACTTTTTAATCCCACATTTTCTAAAATATTTTCTGGTTTTTTCTTCAACTGCTTCATTAAACTAATCGCCAAATCCCATTGAGTTTGAAATTCTGTCCTCAATTTGTTACTTTACGGATATATTATATAAAGGTAAAAAGTCAACGAAACCCCAAGAACAACTGTGCATCAGAACACGGGATTATTTTGAACAACAAATTTTTCAATCACGCTACATTGTCACGATAGAATGTCATGTAACATTTTATCATTGAATTGTTTAAAAAATAGTCAATTCTTACATACAATAATTTGCTGTCACCACCGCATCTCTTAGATAGTTAAGCAATAATTTCTGGCAAAGTGGCTTAATTTCAAAAATTTTGGGTCATTTAACTTCCAATGATACAATTTCTTCGATCTTTGAAGTTTAATCAGTATAGTCTAATTGACTCATGACACATTATCGTATAGATTAGGTAGAGCCGTGCAATCTGTATAGGGGGAAACTGCCATGTAGATACTTGTCATTTTTCTCATTGGAAGTCGGCAGAAAAAAGAGAGCAACCACACAGGTGTTGCCAATATAGCACCTGTAAACTGCGTGACAGTTATCCCCTGTTTAAGGTTCGATGTTTGAGATCGATACATAAAATATCGAGCGAGTTTAGGATAGATCTAATCATAAATTTAAAATGGAAAATGACAATGCAATGTGCATGTTGGATTCAAGTATATAAACCCAAGCTATACCTTTGTGAATTATAATCAAATCATTTGCATTTGCTATCTTGCAACCCCACAAGCCCCACGTCCTAGCCATGGAGGTGAAAATAATGAGTTCAAGAATCGTTAAACCTTTGAATGAAGGCAACCATTCCCCGATAACAAACAGCATTTCCCTTTCAGTCTTTGATAAGATCACTTATGACACACACATTGCTATAATTTACGCCTATCGTCCGCCAACCCCACCGAATGGAGCCATAGAAGTAGGGCTGCAGAAGGCGTTGGCCGTTTATCGAGAATGGGCCGGCAGGCTGGGCATAGATGACAATGGTGAACCTGCCATACTTCTCAACGATGAGGGTGTTAAGTTCATTGAGGCTTATGTTGATAGCACTCTTGATCAAGAATTACCCTTCAAATCTTCGCCATCTTTGCTTAGCTTTCACCCTAGCTGGAAACCTAAGGTTTGCCCTTGGGTTCTTGAAGACGGCCATGAAGAGAAAGACTCCTCTGAAGGAGTTATTGAGCTGGTTCAAGTTCAACTCACAAGGTTCAAATGTGGCTCGTTAGTTGTGGGCTTCACCGCTCACCACTTTGTCGCTGATGGGAATTCCACTAGCAATTTCTTGGTTGCATGGGGCCAAGCTTGTCGAGGAGTCGAAATTAGTCCACTCCCCTTTCATGATCGTACCATTTTCACCCCTAGGAACCCTCCGGTCTTCGAGTTTGAACATAAAGGAGTCGAATTTATATGTAAGAACTTCTCGAAAGCCCATAATTTCAATCACAACAGTATTGTCGACAACATTGTGCTGCACAAAGTTCATTATACAGTGGAATTTCTTGCAAAACTCAAGGTCAAGGCTTCTTCAACGAAAGGAAACAACAATATTAAACCATTTAGCACATTTGAAAGTCTTCTTGCACATCTTTGGAGAGCCATAACCAAATCGCGCCGCCTCAGTGAACTTGAAACCACCCATGTAAGAATCTCGGTCGACGGCCGCCACCGACTGAACCCTAAAGTTCCAAACGAATACGTTGGAAACTTGGTTCTTTGGGCATTTCCGACTACCAAAGTGAAAACCCTTTTAGAAGAACCGTTATCCTATGCAGCAAAACTCATTCATGATGCAATAAAAAAGGTAAACAACAACTATTTCAGATCATTTATAGATTTTGCAAACTATAAGGTTAAAGATGAAAATCTCATGACTAGTGCAGACATTAATAAGGATGTGTATTGCCCTAATGTCGAGGTGGACAGCTGGTTAAGGTTTCCATTTTATGACCTTGATTTTGGAGGAGGGTGCCCTTATATTTTCATGCCATCTTATTATCAAGCAGAGGGGGTGATGCTCTTCTTGCCCTCTTATACAGGGGATGGTAGCATCGAAGTTTACATACCCCTATTTGAGGATAATTTAGCCACCTTCAAGCAAGTTTGCTATAATATGGACTAAAAAAATTCATCATTAAACTGATGTTCACAAGTATTTATATGTTTTAGTATCCCTTAATTTTTCATAGAACAAGGATGTGAGTGTTGTTATGGCTACGTTATAATTAATTATTATCTGTTGTTGTATATTTCATTTGGGAAATTAATTTTATTTTTTTGCAAGAATTATTGTATTGGTTAATGTTCCACTTCGCTTATTAGTGATGGAACAACTAAGTTTTGTTTCGTTGACAGAGATTATTGATGATAAAAAATATAGTTCCTATTATTTTTCTGTCTTCAAAGTGAAAATTTTCATATTTAACAACTTTTTGATGCGAACTCGCGTGGCAACGAACACTATCAAACACATAGGATATTGAATTGGATTCCAAAAAAAGCCAAGAATTGAGGTTTTTGACTCAACCCACAATATCAAAACCAAGCAACCAATAATATATTAAATTATTGACCTATTGATTATGCAAGATTAATGAATTTCACCCAGAATTTTGGATCTGATCCAATAATTACGAATCAAACAACCAACACAGTCACATGGACATGCCGACCTTTTGTTTACAAAATAATTATAAATTATAATCCGAATTATTGAACGCCACAAGATGGTTAATATTGATAAGTTCAATTTTTGCTCATGGAAGAACAAAGTTTTGAAGCAAAAGCTTCGAGAGAGAAGTCTTAATTTAATTCATCAAAATCTTAATCAAAATACAATGAAAGTTATTTATACTAAAAACTTAAAATATAAAATATGGAAAAATATAATTAGATCTCCTAAAAATATAAAGTTACCAATAAACTATGAATTCTAATGGAAATAAAATTTCTCGTGGAAGCACTACACCAGAAATCATCTTTTGCAACGATCAAAAAAGTTGCCAAAACCCTTTAGCAACGTTCACGCGTATGTTGTGGGATGCGACGATACCGTAGCGGCCAAAGTAACGGCAACGTGCATTGCACGCTGCGGAAGACTTCTTTTGCAACGTTCATTGAGCGTTTCCAAAAGTCAGTAACAGCAACGCGCAATGCACGTTGCGAAAGGCTGGCCAAAGTAACGGCAACGTGCATTGCACGCTGCGGAAGACTTCTTTCGCAACGTTCATTGCGCGTTGCCAAAAGTCAGTAACAGCAACGCGCAATGCACGTTGCGAAAAGAAGCCTTTCGCAACGTGCATTACATGTTGCGAAAGCTTCTTTCGCAACATGCAATGCACGTTGCCGTTACACTTTTCCAATTTTTTTTATTTTTTTGTTTTTGTTTTCTCTTTCTCAACCATTAATTTTTACATATTAATTGTAGCAAAATTGAAGATAAACCCTAATGAACAAATTTTGAAATTGTATAAAATTAATAATTTCATTACAAATTTTTGAATCATATACACTAAAACATTAAATGTGATACACCATTAAATAAGAAATTTCTTTTGATAAATGAGTACACTTGAATTATACATCCACTACAATAAGAAATTATCCATAAACCCAATATATGGAGATAGAAGGCTTCAATGCACGACTATGTCACCACACTTACAAGCAAGGACTACATCTTCAAACCAACCTACATTGCATAACATTAAATAAAATTAGATGTGCACAAGAGTAATACAATATCACACATATGCAATACGCCAATACTCATTCTTAATTATCAGAAGAAACCAAACCAAATATTTATAAGAGCCAGAAATGAAGCCAAACCAAATACTCATTCTTAATTATCAGAATAAACCAAACCAAATTTCTTAACTATGCAATACTCTTATAGTAATTAAATGAAAAGAAAATGTTTGATAAAAGAAGGAAAAACAGAAGAGGAAGAGTTAGAAGTACAACCCATTTGTATTAGACACGTTACACATTGATACTAAACACACGCATTGAAGAGCTTGCACAAACATTTGAAATAAAAATTAACCAAGATTGGTTGAAGGATTTGCTTAGTCGATATGAGCATGATCCTAACAATCCTTGAATCTTCTCAGTGAGGTGCCAACATTTAGAATCATCTTGATTCATGGTAAATAGTTTCATACAGAAACATTTTGATTGTTGTTCAGGAAACTAAAATATGAAAATATTATATACATTCATGGTTAGAAACATATAACTGTCATATGATTAATAAGGCAAAAGGAAAGTAAAAAAAGGATAGCATCCCGTAGTAACCTCAACGTCATTAATCTTTTTTACGATGCTACATTTATCCCGTAACTTCATAATTATTGCCCACCAGATAGTAAGGACGCTGCAACAGAGGAACAATTGCCCTCTGAAATGTTAGAATCAACAAAACCTTTAGCATGTGCAAATGTTAGGCCTCCTGCAGAAATACGAAGAAAGGATATATCCGGCAGGGTTGCGGAGCCTTCTAAGTAGAGCAGTATTTGCCGCGTATTCGGCCTAGCGACAGACTCGGAATGAGAGCATAGTAATCCAAGTTTTAAAACCAGTTCCACATATTCTTTTACATAATCATAGCCCAATTTTGGATCAATGGCCTGTAAAATTACTCCTCGAGTCCAGTGGGAAAACACCCAGTCCACCAAAACTATCTCTTCCGTTGGTGCTCGTGGCTCTATTGGCCTTCTGCCACAGCCAACTTCAAGTAGAAAGGCTCCGAAGGCATATACATCAAAGAAGTACACAACTCAGTATGCTACTCTAACACTTAGACTTGAACTAGATTGAAATAGTATATGCTTCAGAAGATAGATCACTATTCCCAGACACTTTAAACTCCATTTTGGATTGAAAAGGTTTGACATCTTAGCCCATTTGGCTCATGTTTATAAATTATTTATAAACACTCAAATCACTTCTTATATAGACATTTCGAGGACCCACTTATCCACCATTCATTTGTATCTGTTTATAATTAAAACCATTTTTATAGACTTCCCAAACATGCTTTTAATATAATTACTTTTGAGAGATTGTCCTCAAGCTGAGGAATGCCCCTTCATGGTTTCATTTGGTTTTGACATTTGAAGAGAAGTTTTCATAGCTCGAACTAGGTTTAACTTAATTTCTCAAGACTGAAAGCATAATGCATATTGGATTCAATATAACAAAATTAGCAAACATGTGAACATCAAAATCAAATAAAGCAACGGAAAAACCAAATCAGTTTCAGTGGGATCGGCCAGGTTGAGTTGTTTATATCAATTATTTTCTCTCTATAAGGACATGGATAACTGACACTAGCTATTAGCACTCACCTATTTTGCAATGATGGATATGCTCGCTCTTCATACTTGTATACCAAAATCTGAAGTGATCCATTTAGACAATAAAACAGTAAACATTTAAGAACTAAATATTTACTTTTAATAGTAAAAAATAACAATAATCAGTTAAAAAAATAGAGAAGAAAAATTACTTGCGATACCATCTTCCTTGTCATCGTCTTCATCATCGGAGTCCTCAACATCATCTTCGTGTTCCTCATCCTCCCTCACATCTTCCACCATAGGCTCATCCATCTGTCCATTAACAATCATAAACAGATTGAGATTCAAAACACAGAATACATATATTAAAAGATGAAAAAATCTTAAACGAGAGTCGAAAAGGAGTTCGCCTAGAGCTTCAAAGGCTCCCTCGCCGTCGACGCCGAAATCGAAGTCCTCGTTGGCGAGGACGTTGATGACATAGCCAACGATTGCCTAGTCAACGTCCTGGATGCGATGCCCAATGACCTCTTGCACCACCTAGCTTACCAATGGGAAAGATGGAAGTGAATGGATCAGGGCGGAGACGAGAGAAGATGGAGGCGGAGACGAGAGATGGAAAAATTAGGGCTAATGATTTGATTTTGAGGAGTTTCGACTTATTCTTTTATTGTGTGGGATCTTTTTAACAACGTTCATGGTGTGTTGCAGAAAGAGACCTTTAGCAACGTTCTCTACGTAAGTTGCAAAAAAGTCACTTTTCGCAACGTTCAGGCGCACGTTGCGAAAAGTGACATTTCGCAACGATCATTGAACGTTACTAAAATGAACGTTGCCAAAAGTGACTTTTCGCAACATGCATTTAAAAACTGTTGCCAAAACTCAATTTTTAATACCAATGGCAACATTCACTTATGAGAACGTTGCTATAAACCTCTTTAGCAACATTCAAGCAATGAATGTTGCCTTTTGCATGTTGCAAAAGGTCATTTTTCTTGTAGTGAAGGAAAGATTTTCTTCCAAATTTATTTCTATGGGGCCCACTCCTGATCATATCAGACCCTCTCTATCATCTCTCTTCGAAAGGATTTGTCCTCGACTCCTGATCCAAATTGTAACTCTTGTCTCCAATCAATGCAAGAACATGAAATGGTCCGTCTCCTCTCGGATGTAGTTTGGACCTCTTTTGAACTCGAACCCATTGCCTTCGATTGTAAATCCAATCACCTTCACCTGGATCAAAGTGTTCTCCCCTTGACTGCTTGATCTTACAAGTTGAAACTGCCTCAATAACAACTCCATTTGATGAATAACCATGCATCTTCCTTGCTTTACTTGGCCCAAACACTTGAAACAGTGTTATTTCCAATGTACTAATGTGTCCTTCAGTTTATCTTCCTTAATCAACTCTCTGCATATGTAGTTCCTCCAGTGCCTTCGAAACTCCGTCATTTCCTCGGGAATAACAAAGTCAATTTTTGATAGATAAGAGAAATCCAACCGATGTAGCACCAACTGATGTTCAATTTCTGGGATGGGTGGTGTTCCAATGTGATCATTTTCTGGGATTGAATCTTTGATAACTTGCAAAACAGAATTAGCCAAACTAGGGAAAGAATTGTTAGTTTGTTCCAAAGCTCCTTCAACTTCATGCTCCTCTTCACTTTGGCTTACTTCCAACTCTCATTTTTCCTCCGAAGACTCTTCTCCACTTTTCTCTTGTGGCTCCACTTCTTCTTTCAGATTTTTGCTCTTGATTTTCCTTTCACTCTCTCATGACCTTTCTTCCTTTTTAGCACAGTCAACCACCTCAATATTTTCTCTCTTCTCTTTTGTTTCTCCATCAAGTCACGAATTTTCGAGAATTCGGGTTTATAGGCCAACCCAGTCCTCTTGCTCGATGTACCACCAACACCCCTCACAACATATGTTTTCTCTCCCCTTGAATACTCAACCCCATCAACAAGATTTCTACATCACCTTTCAAGTCCATCCATTCTATTTTCCCTATCTTCCATCTTCACCAACATCCTCTCAAACCG